GTGTTTTAACTTTGGAAAAATATTTTTGTTTGGATAGGTATGCTTCAATGTGGAAGGGGTGCCTTACACTGTACACTGGAAGAGGAGGAGACTTACAAAAAATTGGAGAGTGAGTATTAAATGTTGCCTCACAATAATATCTTCCATTTTCATTTTGTGATTTATCATATCAGCATTTGGCAATAACCATGGTAATTCACCCTTGTGACAGTTCAAAATCTACTGGCACATTAATTCAATGTCTTTCACAGGTTTTGTATGGTGTATTCTGAGATTCCTAATTTCAGTGAGCCAAATCCAGAGCTGCTAGGACAAGCTAACCAGCATAAGACGGTGAGTCCAATCAATGTTTATGCAAAATGGCACCTCGGTGTGATGCCTCAATGATTATACTTTCCTTTAATCATTTGCATGTCTAAATTTGCTTCAGTTACAATGTGAAAAAAAATGGTCTTTCACTCCAACTCATTTCAAAGTCTTTGTTTAGCAAATAACTTGGAATGTATAAGTTATTAATCCAGAAGCAAACATTTGGTTTTACTTCTGCACATTCAAATACCAAGCCATTAAACTAGCCTAACCAGCAAAGCTCCTGTTACGCACAAAGTCAACACAATGGTGTCTTGTCTCTCGTCCTCTCAATAGGGTAAAGAACAGCGCGGAAATTCTCCACCGAATCAAAATTCAGGTACTCCTGGGCAGACAGGTGAACAAATGTATGACTAGTACTTTACATAATCTGTCCTACTAAAGTGACGGATGGTGATTTTTGTAGTGGTGGATTAATGGTTTGGAATCGGGGCTGCTAACGAAGGTTGCAGGTTCAGTCTCTGAAATTGGAGTTACTGAGATCCTGTTCTTACCGTTAGCATACTGTAAGCTGTAATAGTTTTTTCTAGTCCCTCAGCATGGTGTCTTTTGTATATTTCTGGTGTGATTAAGTTTGCCACTTTTTGTTTTGTTTGACCAACAGGAAATGGTACTGGGCCAGTATTTTCCAATAACAGTGCTGCACCTGTGCCTCGGGATCCCAACTTCGGTGTTCCAGGAAGACCAAACGGGCGTGTTCCAGGCAATGGACCACCCCCAGTAACTGCAGGGGCATCCCCTGCTCCCCCCAAACCCACAGTCACCATTAGCAATGGCAGGGACCCAAGAAGGGCTTCAAAGAGATGAGACTGCAAAACTACTTTCTTGTTTCCACAAACCACCCTTATAATACAAAACAATACTGCCAATCAAAAGATACGAGGTTTAATGCTACTGTTTTGCCACCTATGCCTTTGCTTTGTCATTTTGCCAATATTTGCGTTGTATCCTAGCCTGACTTCGTCATATTCATATTCTATAGGACTTTGAGGCGTGTCTTTACCGAACCAGGAAAATAAAAACTGCACTCACTTAGTTAGACCTACAGCCAATCAGAGCTACGTAGTAAGTGATGTATGTTGAGCTACGCGTAGTTGTCAACAGAACTTAACTGCACAGTGGAAGTAGTAAAATGAGTGTTGCTTTTACTTGGTCCTCCATGAGTGCGACCAAAGGAGAAACCACAACCACCACAGGGTTTTCATTGCGTCCCATCTTCTTAGCGACCATCAGAGCCAGCTAATAAATTAAACTTTTTTGCCGAATTCCGTTGGAAGGACGGCAAACATCTTTCCACAAATGCCTTGATTGCAGTTTTACAAAAGATGTGATAGTGGAATCTATACATCTCAATTCTCCAGCTGCAGTCATATTTTAGAGAAATCAGTTCAACCCATGATGATCAATTCCATTCATGATCCATTCAGATCATCTGTCCATATTTAAATAAAGCCCACTCTTGCAATTTGATTGGCCAGACGGTTTCTGAACCGATCATAATCACTCAATGGATCAAGTCCAGATCGAATTTCCCGACCAAAAAATGTTCTGAGTGGGGTTCGGGCTGGCATCCAGGCTAGTAGTATCGATCACAAAAGGTTAGAATTCAACTTGTTACAGTTAAAGGTTAGCATACCCTTAGCCCGTTCAGTGGCCCACCATTTATTTCCTTTCCCTAAATGTGTTGTTAAACTATACACCCTACTTGAACACTTGATGCACTTTCTTCTCTTAATTTATAGTGAATGCATTGTCATGTGATTCAGGAATGATTAACTGCTGTTGCAAATTGAGGAAAGAACTTCAAAGTGACTGACTAAATGGGTTCTTCCCCCTACTCCTTGGCCAAAAAAAAAAAATTGCCAGAAGTGACCGTGTGAAAGGAAAGGTGATAGTTTGATTGGACACTTAGGATTATTTAATTAGGAATAAACCAAGAATGAAATGTTGGGAAATTGATCCCTGTGGTTATTGTTGTAATTTGTTCTACTTGATCATTTTAGTGCCATTTACATTGAATGGGATTGTTGCCTTTTATATAAGTGCAATCAATGTGAATTATATACCTTCTCTTATATACTGTAACACCACTTCATTCGTTTTGCTTTATAGACATTTTATGTTGTATATAAAAATATATATAAATTTAGGGATACTTGTTATTCAGCCAAATGTATATTTCTATTAGCTTAAAAGTTTTAATTAGCTTAAACATTTGCTGAATGGGAGAAGCTAATACAAATAGCCAGTGTTGTTTTCTTGTTTGCCTGTTAACATTTCAAGCTGCTTTATCAGCAGATTTGATGATCAGAGTGCGTAATGCTCCTTGTAAGGAAAGTTCATGAGTTGAAAGTTTTCCCAGTGTGTGGTACAGCTCAATGCTTATTATTTTCCCATATTTTCCATGGTAATTAAGCTGTGACACTATTTATTGTGTGTGTGTGTGTGTGTGTGTATAGCTGCATAGCTACATTACATCACAATGAAGCAGCCTAAATAGTCCACTTTGGAAAATGTGTAGATGTCAGGTTTTCATTAAACCGAGAAAAATGGTAGAGAAAATGTTCTATTAAAATGTTTTATTAATTAATGTTCTGACATCTACACATTTTCCAAAGTGGACTATTTAGGCTGCTTCATTAAAAATGTGACATTTAGACGTTTTCTTCGGCGTGGATCCAGGCAAATGAATCCTTTTCACCTTGAAAATAATAAATGTTTTTATTTATTTGTTTATTTATTTAATTTTTTTGCATTTTTAAATAATAGACTATTTCTCAGTAATCGTCAATAAAAGAAAATTCAATTTTTCTCGGTTTAATGAAAACCAATAGGTCGTGATGGTAAGTTTTAAGTGTAAGTTTCACGTTTGAGGGGGTTTAAACCGTGACATCTACACGTTTTCAAAAGTGGACCAACGTGATTATTTCACGTCTTGTCACGATACCGGGTTGAAGAAATATTGTTTAGGCCACTTTGTTTGATACAATCACAACAATTTAACGCAAGTATGGGAATTGAACTCGGGTCTTCTTGATTAAAACCCAACTTAATCAACTGAACCACTGCATCTGTTGAGTTCAAGGGTATTTTGGACGGGGTTTTATTGCAGGTTTGGCTTTATTTGTTGGAAAAATAAATATAGAAATATAATTTGACACAAGAGGGCAGTATAGCCCTATTTATGGTTTTGAGTTTAAACTAAACCGTGACATCTACACGTTTTCCAAAGTGGACCAACGAGATTATTTCACGTCTTGTCGTGATACGGGTTGGGCACTGAAGTTACAGGAGTTTCTTCCCGTTGCTAAGCAATGGAATTAGGTCGAGTATTTAAAGGTTAACACGTTGTTTTTAGCGTACCTTTTGCTTAAACGAAGCTAGTAATAATTGCATTAAAGAGCTCTCTTAATGTAATTCTTCCTAGTAAAAACTGATTTAGAGAGCTCTCTAATGTAATTCTTACTAGTAATGCAATTGCATAGCTCTGCCATTCAATTAAAGAGCTTTGCAATTATATTCTTAGGCTACTAGTAAAAATCAAATGGAGCTCTCTAATCGTAATTGTTATTAGTACGAATTAAATTAGAGAGCTCTATAATTGTAATTGCTACTAGTAGGAATTAAATTGTAAAGCTTGTAAAGAATTCTTACTGGTAAAAATGCAATGACGATTAAGGCTGGGTACAATTTAAGCTAAAACGGCTTGCCATACGACACTCTAGTAGCCTACCAAGTGCGCAGCCCATGCGCACGACCCATCTACGGCAAGCCCCGAGGGGAAAAACACATTGCACACATACAACGAGCGCCAGAACATCATTACCGGTATTATAGTAACAGACTTTGTTGGATTATGTCATGTAATATATCTAACAAAGTCTCTTACGATAATAATAATAATAATAATAAAGCTTTTGAGAACAGTGAGTGTATCACTGTATTGAGACAGTTGAGAAATTGTAGGCCAAATATTTTTAGTTTTCAACAATAGGCTTGTCGTTATGTTTCTCAGTTTTGTCTTAATTTTCGCAAATAATTTCTTTTATATGTTTTGAGACAGTTTTAAGACTGTTAAAACTTTTTTTTTTTTTTAAGTAGGCATCTATTTTCTTTTTATTAAGTATTAATTTAGTTGTAGCCTAATACATAACCTATTCATTTATAATGTATCATTATTGCGTGACATTTGTGTCAATAATCGTCAAACACAGGTGACTCCGCGTCATGGGAGGGGCCCCCAAATCAAATTCTGCTTAGGGCCCCCAAAAGGCTCGGGCCGGCTCTGCCTCTGTGGTTGGTCGCCCTACAGGTTGAAAGCATTACCACAGTAGTAAATAATTTAGCGTAGGCTATACAGTAGTCTACTGTCGTACGCACGCTCGACGTTTATCCAGCACTGGCTTTGGAATGAATATGTCCACAGGCAAAATATTAAAAAGTATGTTGCATAATTTCATGAAAGTATGATGTATTGCAACATCAGAAACAAAGAAAAACAAAATAATGACTTGTAACGTTTGACTTAAAGCAAGTCAAATTTGTAGTTTTTTTTATGTCTCATTAGAACTACTGAAACGATCTGGCAATCTTACACAGTGTGGTTATAGTGGAATGAATCAGATATAGGACTGCAAAGCAAATCTAGAAGTGCCTTTCACCCTATTGCGACTTAATGAACCACTGAAAACAATTTTGGAAACATTTTTTTTAAGGTAATCAAAAAAATCTTACTTAGTGTTGCATCTCAGTCAGGAACTTGTGAAATTAGAATTCCTTTAGCTGTCTGTACTAGTACAGTGGTTACACCTGCATGCATATTCAATACATACAGTATGTGTAATCTATGTTTAAGCCATATTGGAAGGTTCCTAGGTTCCTTCCTCAAACACTAAATCTCCTTAATGTTCTAGATCTGGCATCAGTAATTATCTTAATGACATCATCAAAGGGTGGTTAATTTGTACTGGCCAGGGGTACGTTTCCCGAAAGCATCGTTAGTCAACTATGGTCGCAAGTTCCGTCGTTTTCCAATAGAGTTCAATGGAAATTGCGACCATAGTTGGCTAACGATACTTTCGGGAAACGCACCCCTGATTAACCTTTGTATAATTATATACAGCACCTTTGAGCAGAACATCATGTCATCACACTTGTGATAAATAAGTAAAGACACAGTAGGTTATAAACCCAAAACATGGCATTAAAGGAACACTCCGACTTTTTGGGACTTTAGCCTATTCACCTTACCCCCCAGAGTTAGATAAGTCCATACATACCTTTTTCATCTCCGTGCGTGCTATAAGTCTGTTTGACGCACCCACCGCTAGCCTAGCTTAGCACAAAGACTGGATGTGAATGGTTGCAGCTTTCATACTAATCCAAATGAGTGACAAAATAACGCAAACGTTTTCCTATTTACATGTTGTGGTTTGTATAGTCACAGAGTGTGCAAATATCAAGGCCATATGAGACACAGACATCTTTTGACCGTATAAATACTATATTTTCTGAGCGAAGCACTGCTACTTGGGCAGAGTGATAACAATCACCTGAGACGCACCGTGACGAGGAGCAGAGTGTTCGCTCAGTGTTGGAGTGAGTCAGCAATTACTAACGTTAGATAGAAAAGCATAGTTTATCATGGGTGTTTGCTTTATTGTATTAGCTGTGACAATAAACAGGGGAGACCAGGTAATACAGTTTCATTGATTTCCAACCAAAAACGCACCAGATTTATAAATATCACATGAATGAATAATTATTATTACAGGAATCAATATATTTTAAATGCAATTTATTAGCTGAACCAAATGTATTCAACATAGCCTATATAATATACAGTATAATTGCATTACTATAGGATAGAATAAGGGCAAAGTAATAGCACAAATTGTTTTTGCACAATGAACTCACAGCCTATCGTACCCTTTTGCACGCTCAAGTTCGTTATTTCCATGGTTATTTCAAATTTAGGCTACTAGGTGCGCCGCGCGCAGGGTGCAAGTTCAACGCGGTGAACGCGCTCGTTTTTTTTTCCAAGCGCGTCCGGCCCGCATCAAGATAAAAACATATTCATACCCTAATCATATAATAGTGTCACTAACGTTACATTAGCTCTGGCTAATGGCACTGTTACAGTAGGTCATCTAAAAACATAACGGAACACTTACCTCAGCCGCAGGTGATCCACTTGTCCTGTCTGTGCTATCGGTATCCTTCAGCACATTATTATGGTCCGTGTGGCAAATTCCATTTTTTCAAAATAGTCGTCCATTGAAATGTACCGAGCAAACATAATGTCCCTTGATAATCTATTTAGGTGTGTTTGGATAAATATCCAGAGTAAGTTAGCCATTTCTTCATCCAGTCAGCGTTTTTAGTTGAAATTCTGTGAAACATGGTATTACCTCCCCTGTTTACAGTCGCAGCTATTTACAATAGAGCGAAAACCCATGACTCTAAACTACGCTTTTACTATATATAAATTGCTGACTCTGTTACCCAAACATGAGCGAACTCTCCGCTCCTCACCACGGCGTGTCTCAGGTGATGCGGTTATTACTCCGTCAACGTAGCAGTGCTTCGCCTTCAGAGAATAGTTCCCAGGTTTTATGCGGTTAAAAGATGTCTGTGTCTCATTTGACTTTGTTATTTGTACATTATGCGACTATACAAACCACAACATGTAAATAGGAAAACGTTTGTGTTATTTTGCCACTCATTTGGATTAGTATGAAAGCTGCAACCATTCACATCCAGTCTTTGTGCTAAGCTAGGCTAGCGGTGGGTGCGTCAAACACACTTATAGCACGCACGGAGATGAAAAAGGTATGTATGGACTTATCTAACTCTGGGGGGTAAGGTGAATAGGCTAAAGTTGAGGTTTGAGACAGCGGAAAATATGTTACTATTTGAAAAGGCGGCAGTTTTGATATGTGTTAGTTGTGTAAATATCAGATATCCCAAGTCTCCTGGAAGTTCCAGTTTTTAGGTCCCAGTGACCAGTGAAAGGACAGTTCTGAGTCTCTGCCCATTCATTTAGATAGGAGCCTGGTCTTGTTAGACCATAATAGCTGCCCAAAGGCGTTGACCCTTCTGTACGTCACATCCACCAAAAACTTTAGTTGCTTGGAATTATAGAACTAAAAACATCAACGTACTGTATACTTGCCGGTGTAAGAAATTGTAGTCTGCCTCGACCCATATTCCACTCCAAAGTATATTTTAGAATAAGCTCATCCCCAAAATGGGTTAATTTAATTACCATGTTTGTTTGCTCGGGCCCTGGCATTGTCAGCGCAATCCCTTTAAGGACTAAAAAAAAAAGAACAAATAATAATAATATATAATTAAATATAGCAATAAGGGCTGATTATCTATTGTTGGTGGCTCATCAAATTCCCTATAATTAACAATTGATTATTTTGCAATTTAGTTAACACAGTGTTGAAAGTTGTTGGCTTGTTCACATGTGTACACGCTGCAGCTCTTTCCAGAACTCTCCGATGCCATTTGAGAGCGCTCCCTCTGCCAGTCTCCGGCACTCACGTGGGGTAAAGCCTACCAGGGCAGTGCCCTTCAAAGCCACTCCATGGTGTCTAGCCAGCTCTGCTACACGTTTTGTGATTAGCGAGGCTGGAGCATGGCAAAAGTTTTGCCCTCCAATGACAAAGCTTGGCCATTGTTCCTCACCATAAGATGAAGATGATGGAGGACCACCCTGAACACTCTCCACATTGCAAGCGATCTCCATAAGACCTTCATGTGGCAGGGCCATGACCTGAACTCCAGGGATGCCACCAGAACTGGATTCACGGACTGCTAAAGCAATAATCCGGCCCAGGGCCAGATCCTGGGTATCGATGGTCACGTTACAGTTCATGACGTAGGGGCTGGCGCCAACACCTGCAGGACAAATAGCTGTTATTTGTTTAGTTTAGTGAGGCTCAAATAGTGATAGCGAGTTTGCACAAGTTAAAAATCTGCCATCATTTACTCACCCACATGTCGTTTCAAACCTATAATAATCTTCAAAACATGGTAAACATGTAATAAATAATCTTGAAACCCGGAAGGTTTCTGTCCCTACATTGCAAGTACTGGTAACCAAAACTTACAAACAATATATATATATATATATATATATATATATTGCAAAATGTATGCACAAATATATACAAATGCTAAATTCCCTCAGAGTTAAAGGCCATGGTGCAGGTTTTTTTTTTTTTTCTTTTTTGGCAATTTTCTAGTTGGTAATAAACATTTAAACAGTTATCCATTGTATCTGATGTTGTAGGGTACTCAAAAATTAAAATATAACACGGAAAAGTGGGTGAAATGTTAGCTTTTAGCTAAAGCTAAGCGAGGATTCTTATTTCTCCCACAATGCATTCCATGACGTCACATGAGGCACTCGCTGACTGTTGGACGACAGACAGCCCCGCGGCCCGCCTACCATTTTGAGGGAGAGTGATACGAGGAGTTTTAAGTTAGCTAGCTAGTGAAGCAGTGACACTGACAGTGACAGATTTATAAGTAAATATAGATAGATAGATCTTCCGAAGCTGGGTGCAGTTTGTCAAGATTAGGCGAGCAGATTTTTCAGCTAAGTTAACGTTAGCTCTGTCGCCGCCTACTCGAGAATATGCAGCGCGCATTTCAAAGAGGAGGATAACCACTCAGGGGATGCCAAGATGGTCTTACTTCACTTGGATTAAAGAGTGAGAGGAGTGCTAAATTACTTCCAACCGCACTGCCGTCTGTGAACGCAAACCTCTCTGCTTGCCCTGTCCCGAGGTCGAGAGACACCGTCTGCCGCAAGCGAGAAATTGCCACGGTAAGCATCATGCTAACGTTAATGTTTACAAGCTGCATGTTAGCTAGCTCTGTGTGTATTTTGTATAACTACCGTGTTCCCTTTGACATAATAGCCTCCACTACAAGCACGATCACTATGACATTAGAAGAGCATTTTTCGTGATTCACGAATTTGAGCCAAAACAAAATTGCCCAGAAGTAAATGTCCATATTGTCATGAAGGCTTCGTGGCTAGTGTTTGGATCAGTGGTGATGATCATCAAGCGGCTTTCGCAATCGTGTGTTTGCGTTTTGTTATAACGTTAGACTGCTACTGTTCTCTTTTTCATTGACCGTGTCGTCAGGGCTGTAGTGGAGGCTAAATGCAGTTTACCTGCTGAAATTAGGTCGGAAACAGTTTATCCACTTTTCACTTCAGAGTTTAGCTAAGTTACCTCTCAGTAATTCACTACCTCATAGAGTTTATGTTACTAACTTTACCACGTGTATTACCACTAGTATTGTATAACATTTAATAGTAACATTCAAATCATCAAATATGGTCTGCATTTTTTTTATTTATTTATTTTTTAAAACATTTAGTAGTGCATATTAGGGTCCAATGGGTAATCTCCCTGGCAATCTCATAACATTCTGTTTACTGTTTATGTTTGCTATAATTCATATGCAGGACAATTTCATGTTTTTTCATTAGTGGCAATGATCTTTATACAGTATTATTATTATGTCTGCAGGTTATGCAACATCATTAATGAAGGCCCTTCGGGAAAGCTACACCAATTCACCTGCGGCTCTTCGAGAGGTTAGCGCCAGTTTGTCCCCATCGCCCCATCGCCACATCCTTCAAACAGGTTCCCGAGGAGGCCGTCAGCCTCTACCTAGCCCGGCAGTCACGCTTCAAGAACCTAATTTCACATTATTTTCTTTCCACAGACAAGTCCAATGGTTTAGTTGTATTTATTTATTTTAGTTGTTAGTTATCTTCTTTCCTTCTGTCCCTGTCATCTCATTTAGTGGTGGTTTCCTGCATTCTGCATGTTTTGTTTTTTTCATTCATTTATTTAAATGGGTTAGGGTTATGTGTGTATGCATATATGTGTATATATGCATAGGCCTACATACATACGCGAATATATATTATAATATTATATATATTATAAATAATATATACTTCAGGTTACCATAAGTTAGCTAACTTTAATGAAGAGTTGGTCATGTAAGCTATAGCATTATCTTCCAATAAGCATTAACTAAAACTGGCTACATAAAATGTACTGACTAGATTCACGAGAGGTCGGCTAATGTGTGTAAAAGTAAAACAATACAGTAATTTCATTAATTTACCAGCTCCACGACACGCGTTAGTTCCTCATTCCAGAGTTCCTATGGCGGTCTATGGGAGTGTCGTAACTCTCTCTCTCTATGGCTCTCTGGACTACACTATTACAGGCTAAAGATTTTTTGTATAGAGTTGTTTACTTAAAACCTGTGTCTTTGTTCAGTAATCTTTGTCCTTGTTCAGAAAATGTTTAGTAACCATTACAAGCAATGCCAATAAACTGTTTTATTCTTATTAAAATTCATGTGTTCTGTGTACTTTATAACATTTTGAGGGCAATTGGGTGATGACAACAGAATAAGCAATTATATTTTTAAATTAATTTTCATCCAAACGAGGCGATTGAAAGCCCTGATAGGTCTGGTCACGACTTTGGAATTGTTGTCTGATGGTTGAAACCACACGAGAGGCTTCTTCTGCTCTTGCTTAAAACACCATAAGCCCAGCATATAGCCTGTCTGTATGCACTGTACTGGTATTGCCTAGGGATAAGTAGGAAAGATTCTTAAGTTTTAAACTCTGTAAGTAGGTTGGAAACGTCTCTGATTCATGTTTATTGTGTATGCAACACATCTCCTGTCACCTATAGCTGTTGTTCATGAACATACTCATGCGTGCTGGTTTGAAGGGGACCATTATCTTGCATGAAGTGTGAGTATGCTATGTGTAGCACAAATGGATTCAGGCATTATGCCTCATATCCAGAATGCTGGATATGTACACGTTACATCTGTATCAGTATATTTAAAGTAGCCTGCCTCCTCTGTATGGATAGAAAATTGTTATATTACAAGACACAAATTCAGATAGGCTTCTCAGAGCCTGTTTTATTACAGGTTTGAATGAATGAAATGTCTCTTCTGTATTAGAAAAATAAATATATAATTATTTTAGGTTTGAATGAATGAAATGTCTCTTCTGTATTAGAAAAATAAATATATAATTAAGAAATAACTAAAATAAATACCTCCAAATGTAACAAAAATAGCTCTCACAAACTTACAAAAACGAACTAATAAAATGTATAGTTTTCTTCCTCCTTATCCTGTTTTTCTTCCTCATGCTTGTTTGCCCATCTGATCTTTCCCAGAAGTTTTTTGAAAACCAGGACATTTTCATAATTAAAAAAATAAAATAAAAACAGCCAGGACAGGACGGGAAAACAGAAAATGTCCTGGTAAAACAGGACTGTTGGTCACCCTAACCAAGTCTAAAGTCAGTGGCGCGTTGCGTGTACTTTCAGATGCTATTTTATCCGCATGCTTGCAGATACAGAGTGAACAACGCGCATACACATAGTAGATGATTCTCTCATTTACACAGATGCATTTTACTTTTTACAAATGATGCATTATTATAAGGAAAACTATTTAAACACGAGGGAAATCATTGTTGTGTTCATGATGACGATAGGAAAAATAGGCATAAAGCATACACATTTGCCCAAATTGATATGCATAACCGAAGCTAATATGGGTGGGTTTGTCCCATCCCCAATGTCACTTCTATTTCTTTTACAGCCCTGACGAGAACATCGATCTCCTCGGCTTTCTTTGAACCATCAGACTTTACTGTGAACCGATTCTGAAGCGCGCCGCTGCCTGCAGCCTGCAGCTGCGTCTGCCTCATGTGACGTCATCGCCGAGTCGCGTGAAAAATAACCGTCACTAAACAAAAACTACAAAAACGGGACTTTAACACCATTTTTGAGATATTTCTAACTTCATATACATATCTTAACTGCTTTATGTACCCATTAATCGACAGTAGTGTTTAACCTGCACCATGGCCTTTAAATTCCCTCAGAATTTAGTGTTTTTTTTTTTTGTTGTTTTTTTTTTTAACAATAAAGTTGAAATTACTGATAATGCAAGAGAAGCATATACTCTCAAATTAAAAGTACTTCCGGAACCCAATTTTGCTCTGTTTCTTAATTCTGAAGCAAACTCTACCTTGCAGTTTGATTTTTGTTTCTATATTTTGTGAATGCAGATTTGAAAAATAACCTGTAATGCCATATCTTCTTGTGGCCTGTGGACCTACATCTGGGTGGATGCTTGACATATCTTTGACCTTTTTGAACCAGCCAATCTCTTTCCTCCTTTGAGCCAGACCTCGACGCCGAGGAGAATCAGCCCATCCGAACAGAAAAGCACTGGTACCTGCCACTCTTTCTGTCAGAGCTGTTGCTAATGCTAAACAAGAAAGAAAACAGCAGTTGAAGTGCATATAAAATGATAAGTTCACATTGAGAATATATTTTGATCTGTAGAATACTAATAGTGCCCTTTAAATAATGGTATGCTGAGCCCAAATTAACTCAATGTTGTTTGTGCTCCATTAGCTTTTCTTTCCATATTATTTATACTTTAATACTATATTGAAACCATTTCTGTACTTTGCAAAGTGAATATTCAGAGAAAGCATTTTAACATTTCTTCTGTGATTGCATGGCCACATACCCTGGGCCTCTTTTCCACAATCCTCAAGGCCCACCTCCTCCCCTAGTGGATAGAGAGGCACCAGATCCACTGCACCCATGCATGGGTGGGTGCCCTCATGGACATTCATGTCAATCAGAGAGAAAGCACGCTCACAAGCCGACAATACAGCCTCCCCTAAAATTTACAACAATACAGATTAGCCTCTTTTGTACAATTACTTACAAAGCAATTGTTCACAGGAACTGGACATGTATTAAGAACGACTGGAAGGTCGAGCAGGCAACTCACTTAGTAGGTCAATGCTTGCAACAATAGTGATGACAGAGCGATTGTAGTCAACATCATTGAAGATGTTCAGCACTGTGATGCCTTCACGTTTTTTTCCTTATGAAGGACAGATTCAGACAATTTTGTCACAATAACATGCCAAGAAAATATTACTAATGTCTTCAGATACAGTTTAATGACCACTTTGAAATATTTTTGGTTTAGAAGTAATTAATAAAGGCAAATTTAATAGATCCATTCCATGCATTGAGTTCTCACCATGTGCGTCAGTGATGGCTGCTTTTGCCACTGTCTCCACCAGGTCTCTTCTCCGAGCTTCTGAGATGTTCAGGAGACATGCAACCAGCCGTCGACTAAGAGCAGAACCGGACATTCCTCAAGAGAGCAGAAAAACTTTTACAGAAACACATACAGGCCCGCACAGACCCAAAACCAATGATGACTATTAGCCAACTCAGGAACGCCTATTTAAAAAAAGAAAAAGAAAAAGAAAGAATCTTGTCAATACTTTATAATAACATTACTTAAGAACATTAACATAATGTTACATCATATGTTGTGTTAACATTGTAATGTTAACATTACGACATGAACGTAATATTATATTTAACATTTGAAATTAGTTTAAAGAAAAGTCATGGTTTTATGAATCTTTTCCACAAAAGGGATGAACTTTCAAGGCTGAATTGTTGTGTAAACAATCGACAGTTTTATATTGATCAGTTTCTTTCTAACAGTCCAAAGTTTATCATACTCGTAGATACAAAAAAGAGGCATCGTAGATTATTTACTAGTACCTTTTTACTAATACTCTTAACTGACTAACTAAGTAATTATTACATTCACACAAACATCGTACCTGCTTGTCATGCACAAAGTTACTTGAAGGCGTGAGACTCCAGAGGCACATGGTCTCAGCTGTTTCCGCTATAACGTCCGATTCGTGAACGAATCGTTCTATTGAGTCGAAATTTCTCAATGAATCAGTTAAACCATTTCACAAAAATGTCTGAACGAAAAAAAAAAAGTATTGTAAATTTGTTTAGGCTTATTTACACAATTGGTTATAAATATATAAATATAATTTTATTTAGCAAATAGATAATAAAATGAATTTAGTATTAAGTATGTTAGGTTCAAAACTTATTTTATGATCTAAATGGCTACAATAAATTGACAAATAAAGCAAGACAAAAGCATTAACAAAACAGTGCCTATAGAACATGTATTGCATGTAAAATGCATAGAAATGCCACGTCAGAAAGTTAGGGCCATATCACATATAAATCTTTTTTGAACCGGTTCTTTGACGCGAATTGCTCAAAAGAACCGACTCAACCGAAATGAGTCATAATTAAATCACAATACTCCGCCCCCTGAAGATTAAAAAGAAACTTACATTTTGGACATTAGAGTAAACATGGTCATGCCGCATTAATCACTACAGTGTTTTAGTCATGTAGTCAATCTAAATGCGTTATGTATCCGCGCTTTTCATGAACCCCTTGGCTAAGCGCATGCGCATCGTTTTCAAGTTTTGACGCTCCCCAAAAGCGTCATTTGGTGGCGTTTAATATAAACAAATCATAAACCAGACACATTGCATTAGCCTGAACCGTTCGGTAATTTCAAAATGCTTGAATGCCTACCGGATTATCCTGGAGCATGCGTTGCTTAATTGCGTCTGTTTTGCAGTGATGGTTTCGATTTTAATGCTGCAGCTCGTGCAGTCGCCGCTACATAATCCCTTTTGCCCATGAGAAGCATCCGATCAGTTGTAGCTTGTTTATCGCTAGTCACTATAGCGAGGGAAATGAACGCCGCAGCGGGGCTGTGCGTCCACGGGACATCCGCTGCGCCCGGGCTGCTCCGCCTGACTTCAGTACCCGGTCATGATCAAAACCGTGTAAACGATGTTCTGCTCTTACGACCCGCCACGGAAATGCTGAGACGATGCGACAACGAAACAGAGAACCGGCAGAATGGAAACGGTCACGTAGTCTTCTTTCCTGGAGACATTCAGGTTGGTGCAGGTCATCTTATCAGGTCATCTCAGGTTGGTGCAGGTCATTTACCACGACTGTATGTCCTCCTAAATTAAACAATAATGGGTTATTTAATAAAGCTCTCATGACCCTGTGTAAGTATCAGATATTGTTTATACAGTGTATGATGCAATCCTCTTATTAGACTAAATATGCCTATTGCGCGTTAGAGGGAACTGCAGTACTAGGAAACCTCTGGGATTATTCACTAAAATAATTTGATACAGTTTACCTTCTGTTGCGACTAATAAGGAATCTCTATATTTCGTTTTTCCTTATAGACTTTAAAAACAGACCCAAGACACGTTTTAACATCATACTGCAGAACAGCATTTATTTGAGACAGAAATGTTTTGCAGCAATTTTGATCTATTAATGCATCCTTGCTGAATAAAAATATTAATTTCTTTCAAAATTAAAAATTAGCTTTTAGCTTTTAGTTTTAGCTTACCTGAAGGGCATCCAAGATGTAGGTGTCTTTGTTTCCGCAGTAGTTTCAATTTTGATATTTTTAGGTTAAACCGCTCTTGACTGTCAGTCGTATAATGTAGGTCTATGTCACCACCACAAAGAGCATGCACAGAGAAGTCCAAATTAAACATGATTTAATGACTTGTAAATGTAAGTACATATCGATGGCCTAAGACGCGAAACAAGCGGTTTGTGTAAGAACATGAACAGTATTTATATAGTTTTTACCTCTTGTTACCACAGCCACAAAGCACCCGCACCCTCAGATCACTTGGACGTGTGCATGCTCTTTGAGGTGGTGACCATAGACCTGACAGACAAGAATGGTTGACCAAAAAAATATAAAAACTGAAACTACTGCGGAAAAAAGACACCTACATCGTAGATGCCATTGGGGTAAGCTAAAACATACCAAAAAAATAATTTCAAAGTGAACTATCCCTTTAATTTCTATTAAACAAATTACTATTGACAAAGTTATAAATTCATTGCTCAAAAGGTGTGCTGTTCAAACCCTGTTTTCTATAGTGTTCATTAAATATATATATATGCTAAATTTCTTAAATTTCTCTATTCATCCTCTGTTTATAATGCAATTTCTCATTCTCATCTACTATCCAGAACTTCCAGCAGGAAATGGCCCTCCAGCCTGACGCTGCCCCATGGCAGTCCTGGAGCCTGGAGCGTGTCGCTCTCACCCTGGGGCACCGGTTTCCTGGCTGCCATATCTGGGTAGTCCGTGCATCCCGCATGTACCTACATAAGTTCAGCTGCTATCAGAACTTTGTAGAGAGCAACCTGTTTGGAGCACCAGAACACTCTCCAGACCATGGAGGTATTCGCCACCTGAGGGCACTCCTGGGTCGTGGCATGCAGCGGGCTGGTCTCCCAAATCCTTTACCTCCTCTTAGTGGTACAGCCACCCCTGACCCCCTTCCTGCAGGTTTCACCCTTACCATAGTGGGCTTCAGTAAAGGATGTGTTGTTCTCAATCAAATAGTGTATGAGCTGGCTGGAGCTCGATCGGATCCAGAACTGAGGCTGTTTCTGGACAGTGTCTCAGACATGTACTGGCTGGATGGAGGACACCCTGGAGGCAGTGAGACGTGGGTGACCAATAAATGTGCTCTGGATGAGCTGGCCTCCAGTGGGGTGGCTATTCATGCCCACGTCACTCCGTATGAGGTAAGGGACCCGATGAGGGCATGGGTTGGGCGAGAGCACCAGCGCTTTATAAAGACTCTGGAGGATCTGGGTGCCTGTCTGAGCCAGAAACTGCACTTCGAGGAGGAGCCGGCGTCCATTGAGAATCACTTCAGAGTCATTCAGGAGTTCTGACTCTTCTTGCTTTCAAGTCTTAACACGGTGTGTGGTTCTTCGTAGAGCTGTGTGTTGCACTGATGTATTTGTTAAAAAAGAGCTTTGGGTTTGCCTACGCAACACTCATAAATAGGAAAGAAGATTGAAGCTTAAATGGATAGTTCGCAGAAATAGATAAATACTGTCATCATTTACTCGCCCTCATGTCGTTCTAAGCCCGCGAGATTTTGGTTGATTGTTAAAACCCAAATTTATATTTTTTAAGGAGAGCTGAGAGTTTTCTGTCCCTCCATTGAAAGTCCATGTGATCAAAACTTAGATCCACAAAGGTTATAAATAGTGGGGCGGCTAAGCGCAGATTTTCATCAGAATCGATCACTTTGCGATAAAAGCATGAAATTTGGTACGAAGGCTCACAAAGGGGGTCTGATCAGATTTAGGACCGTAGGCGCTCAAAATTTGGCCCCTGGGGGCCATGTCGGGCATTTTTCAAAATGGCCGCCAAATATGGATTTCTTAATGCGAAAATGAATTTAAAGCTGCCAGAAACCTAAAATGCAATTACACAATTCACCATAAATACATGTAAATATGACCACACTTTCACATAGAAGGTCTTTATACTTTCAAATATAAGATATGTTTAAAAAAAATTGAAAATGGCCGCCAAATATGGATTTCATAATGTCATAATGGATAGACGACAGAAATTAACAATTAAAAAAGTTGCACATTTGATTATTAAACAATCTAGTTTTAGTAATAGTTCTAGTAATTTTTAAACAAAAAGGAAAAGAGGTTATGATATCTATCAGAAATTATGTACTTTTTAAAATGTACATTTAAATATTTAATATTAAATTGTGAGCATATACTATTTTTACTGGGTAGTTTGTCAGGGACTCCTTTTTATTCAGTCAGTAGGTTTCATCTTGTGGCCACAGTTAAATATTATTCTCTTTAAAATCTAGGGAACTGGTGAGATGTTTTACTCTTGACTACAAGTGAGATAAAGGCAAAGTCAGTTTGTGTTTCTCACTGTTACTCAGTAAAAATAGTGTAGGCTAATACTGCAAGTAAGCAAACATAACTCAGACAGGCAAATATAACATGAAATAGATTTTAGTCTGCATGAATTTAGAGTTGGGATTCTGTGAAATAAAGTAGGTGTACATTTCCACAGAATTTCATTTAGGCTGGTTGTCTAAACTAGCTGCAATTCATCCCATTTATTTCATTGTAACTCTGTGCTCTTGTACGACTTCTTTGCTCTCCAAATGCTCTAAACTTGACTATAAATATTAATTGTAAGAACTGTTGAGTCCTGCTGGATTATTTGCAAGTGGTTTAGTAGGTAGGCAAATCACATTGTATACCGAGTTTTCCTCACAAGAAAAACATAAATTAGCACGATTAGCATGATTACGACAATTAGGCCACTACACAAGAACTACTTTGATCCAATGCAATGACTAAAACCTTCAAATTATTTAATCCTGGATATACTGATCCCCCAACACAAATAACTGACTGGGAACTGTGTTTCATTTGTCAGAATAATACTCAAGAGCCACTCAGATGCCCATCAAATTGCCAATGGCAGGTCAATATTGAACGTTACAAAAATCTGGCAGAGAATCTATTAAAATTTGATTAACTTAAACAACGGTATCTTTACAGATTGCACAGTTAGATAAAGGGCAAGGTATAGAGGCCACATTTATTAGGAACAATGCAAAATATCACAAATTATACATGTCGCCTTAGATTCAACAATCAAATGCTACAAAGAGCTGAGAAGAGAGCTTCTACAACTGATGAGCATGACACTATGAATAAAATTAGTTTTAAAAACCTCATTCAGTGATGACATCGATAAGACTTAATGTGGAGAGAACCTGCAGGTAATGAGAGACTTCATAAGGCTGCTACATTTCAAATTGATGAAAAAGTTCGAAAGTGTGCCGTTGTCCTCAATGACATCAATCTTCTGGCACAGCTCAGTGGAGGTGACATGTTGGCTTTAGAGGCCAAGTATCATTCCAAATGTTTGGCCTCTTTGTAAAATAGAGCTAGATCCCAAATGACACCTCACCAGGTGAAGAGCAGTTAGGACCAGATGTGACTAGTCCTTTGCATAACTTAATTAATAATACTAATTCATTACATTTATATAGCGCTTTTTTCAGCACTCAAAGCGCTTTAAATAGAGAGGGGAATCTCTATCATGGCCTCCTAATCATCTCCATATATATATATATATATATATATATACATATATATATATATATATATATATGGAGATGATTAGGAGGCCATGATGGACAAAGGCCACTGGGCAAATTTGATTTGGCCAGGATGCCGGGGTTACACCCCTACTCTTTCGAAAGACATCCTGGGATTTTTAATGACCACAGAGAGTCAGGGCCTCGGTTTAACGTCTCATCACGACAGTATAGTGTCCTCATCACTTTACTGGGGTGTTAGGACCCACACAGACCACAGGGTGAGTGCCCCTTGCTGGCCTCACGAACACCTCTTCCAGCAGCAACCTGCTTTCTCAGAAGGTCTCCCATCTGGGTACTAACCAAGCTCAGCCCTGCTTAGCTTCAGTGGGCAACCAGTCTTGGGCTACAGGGTGATGTGGCTGCTGGCTATATCATGTTGTAGTCTTTACAGAGATGAAAACTGTCCACATGTGGTCTGTCCTGTCATGTGGTAATCTATTCACAACTGCAGCTATTGATAATGTTGATCATGATCCATCTTCAACAACAGCTAAGAATTCTTTTCACGGAACCTCCATCTCCCTCTTTCAACATCCGTCTTCAGAGAGGAAAGGAGAGCGTCGAAACATTGTTTCATCTC